TTGTTTCCAATAGTGGTAAGGACGAATGTCTGTAAAGCCAGCAACTTGGAATATACACCCGAGACTGTCTGAAAAGACAGAAAAGCTGGTAAAATATTGCAAGGAGTGAGGCTGAGTGTATTTGGTCCTTCCTTAACTTCATTTCCCCCTTTTTATCTCCATCAAAATGCAAAGCAAAGCACATTTAAGCCAGCAAAATAACCCAGTTGTATCAGAGAGCTACTAGTACTGTCCTAGTACTGATGTACTGATGTCGTAGTACTGATAAGAAGCAAGAAAACATATTTATTCCTTTATAAAAATGTATATTGTGGATCGCCAAAAAGACAAATAAGTGGGTTCCAGATCAAATCAAGCCTGAACGCTCCCTAGAAAATTACCAAAGTGAGGCTCTCGTACTTTGGTCACATTATGAGAAGACAAGACTCACCGGAAAAGACAATTATGTTTGGACAAGTTGAAGGCAGCAAGAAAAGAAGACCCAACAAGAGATGAATTGACTCAAATCCAGGAAGCCATGGCCTTCAGTTTGCAAGACCTGAACACAGCTGTTAACCATAGGAATTTTGGAAGTCATTAATTTATAGGGTTGCCATAAATTGGAAGCAACTTGATGGCACTCAACACACTAATGTATATTCTGCTTCTCCAGCTTGAATTAAAGCAGTTTACAATAGAAACGATCAAATTATACAAGTAAATAATACGAGACCTCAGAGCAGAGAACTGCCTTCTTGTACTCTGTAAAGCAACTATGTCCATTGACTGTGCATATAAATTCTTATTTACAAAATTACCCAGTTGTGGCTTGGCAATGTAGAGAGCAGTTGGAGTTGAGAACCTGGGCTTGTACCAACGGCACAGGAATTCGGCTCCAATCCAAAGAGCCCCTGTCCCGCCGATTGTGTGAACACCCCCAGCCTGTTGAGAAAGAAAGGAAAGATTGTGGGTTTTTTTTCTAGCAGTCATCTCCTTATTATATTTCTATTCCATTTTTTCTTGTCCATCTTGTTGAACTGACTGGTAGCCACCTGCTGCCACTGGAGCTAGCCAGAGTTGCTTTGGCAGGTAAGGGCTACTGCTGGCGCTGCCCTCTGTCTAGGGAAGATGAGTGTGCAGATTATTAACACTCTTACAGTATTTCCTTACAGTATCTCCCTGATGTCTGCCTGCCTGCCCTCCCACTTTCACCACGCATCACACATTAGCACTGGGACAGTATACAGGGACATAATGCCCAGCCTCTGTCTTCTGGCAATAAAGCTTGTGGGCCGGATAAGAGCCCTGGACGGGCCATATGGGTCATATGTTTGACACCCCTGATATAGACCATGCTCCAAAGCAGTCATTTTCTACAGGGGAACTTATCTCTGTTGTCTGGAGATCAGCTGTAATTCCAGAAGATGGCCAGACCTCTTCTGGAATTAAATTATGTTTGACACCCCTGATGTAGACCATGCTCCAAAGCAGCCATTTTCTACAGGGAACTTATCTCTGTTGTCTGGAGATCAGCTGTAATTCCAGAAGATGGCCAGACCTCATCCGGGAGTTGGTAACTCTAAACTGTGAAGTGAATACTCAACACTCATACCCTGTTTTCTAAGAGAGCACGGCTCTCCTTGCCAATTGCCAGCTCAGTAGCTGCTCTAGTATACTCATAAATCCCAAGCTCTGGGAGGTATTCGTGATTCAACGTTGGATCCTGGGAGATTTGGAGTAAAATCCGTTGCACCACAGGTGGGATCCAAGCTTCTCCGGCATCAGTCTGGCAACCTGTATGAAATGGACAGGAGCTGACCCCAAACACACATGCAACATTTCATTGACAAAAATAGGGACACTCTTGTGTACTACTAACATCCCGATGATCACTGCTTAAGGGCAAACCTGGACTGTTACACATTGAGAAATGCTCCTCTCAACATCTCTTGCCTTGAAAACTGCACAGGTTCGCCATAAGTCTGATGGGGTGAAGAAGCAATGAAAGTGGAATTGGGCTTCTGGGTTCAGAGGCAGAACACCCCTGATTGTCAGATCCTGGGGAGCAATCAGAAATCGAAAACTGTTTCAGTTGGGCCCTGCTAGTGAACTTCACTGTGGTATCTAACTAATCATTCCTGGAAACAGGATGTTGAACTAAATGGCTTCTTTTATGTTCCCAAAGACCATGAGAGCAGCTGTTTATTATTTAGATATTTATGACCCACTTTTCTCCCCAGTGGGGACCCAAAGCAACTTACGACATCGCTCTCTCCTCCTCCATTTTACCCTCAAATACATGAACACATGCAGCTGCCTTATACTGAATGAGACCCTTGGTCCATCAAAGTCAGTACTGTCTACTCAAACTGGCAGCGGCTCTCCAGGGTCTCAGGCGGAAGTCATTCATGTAACCTCCTGACAGATCTTTTAGCTGGAGATGCCAGGGATTGTACCTAAGACTTCCTGCATGCCGAGCATATGCTCCACCACTGAGCCACAGCCTCTCCTCGCAACAGCATGTTTGGACATTCCTGGAGGTTTGGAGGTGAAGACTGGGGAAGGGAAGGGAAGGGACTTCAGTGGGGTATAATGCCCTAGAGTCCACCCTCCAAAGCAGCCATTTTCTCCTGGGGGGCTAGAGTTGCCAATCTTCAGATGGCATTTGGAGATCTCCCACCATTATAATTGATCTTCAGATGACTAAGATTAGTTGCCCTGGAGAAAATGGCTGCTTTGAAGGATGGGTTCTGTGGCATTGTACCCCGCTGAGTACACCTCCCCGTCCTAAACCACACCCTTCCAAGGCTCCACCCCCAAAATCTCCAGGTGTTTCCCAACCCAGAGCTGGCCACCCTGATCTCTGTAGTCTACTGATCAGTTTTAATTTCAGATTTCCAGGCCCCACCAGGAGGTTGGCAGCCCTACGACAGCAGCTGTGTCAGGTAAGTTAGGCTGAGAGACTTGCTCAAGGTCACTAGTGAGTTTCCATGGCATCAGTTTAAACGTAGGTTTTCCAGATTCTAGTCATACACTAACTCCTTCATCACGCTGGATCCAGCGAAGTATAACTAAAGATACCCATCGTACAAATAGAAAAAACTTACTTCCCCCACGCAGAAGGTAATTGTGTGTCTCCTGCAGCTCAGGATACTTCTTAGTAGGTACCTGTGGGTGGTAGGCTATCAGATAGATCTTTGGCTATGTTGCCAGGGGCTGCTTTCTGTGATGGGTTCTTGGCTCTGGAATACTCCTCCCAGCCAGTTTGGTGTAGTGGTTGTGCGCAGACTCTAATCAGGGAGAGCCAGGTTTGATTTCCCACTCCTCCACTTGCACCTGCTGATGTGACCTTGGGTCAGTCAGATCAGCTTAGAGGGAACACTGCTGTGGGTGGTAGGCTACTGCATAGATCTTTGGCTATGTAGCCAGGGGCTGCTTTATGTGATGGCTTCCTGGCTCTGGAATACTCCTCCCATCTATCTTCACATGGCCCCGTGTTGTTGAATGTTAATTATTTGTTGAAAACTGGTTTCTTTGCTCAGGCTTTGACTGATCACTCTCTGTTGTGCCAGGACTGCTTTATTTCCAGCTATTTTGACGTTGTATCCATTGCAGTGTTTAGTTCTGCTCTTCGATTCATTCAGGTTGCTTTTATTTTTTGTTGTGATGTGCATTGATGAATGATTGGATGCTGCCTTGGAAATGTTTGATTGAAAGTCAGGATAGAAATTTTGTAATAACCCCCCCCCTTTTAAAATAGGGGGATTTCAAATAGGTTGGTCCCATGCCAGCCCTAATTCTGGCCATTAATGGCATTTAGTTCTTGCCAGGTAGGGTTGCCAGCTCTGGGTTGGGAAATACATGGAGATTTGGGGGGTGGAGCCTGGGAAGGGTGAGGTTTAGGAAGGAGAGCAACACCAGGAGGATACAATGCCATAGAATCCATCCTCCAAAGTAGCCATTTTCTCCAGGGGAACTGATCTGGGTCGTCTGGAGAGCAATTGTAATAGTGGGAGATCTCAAGGTGCCACCTGGAGATTGGCAACCCTATAAAAATATCAAGCATGTGCATACACACCAAGTTCATTGTGATCAAGACCCAGGATGCCAAACAGAGCCTTCTGAAGCAATGAAATTAGAGACTCACCTTGAATTTACAAATTAGAGACTTACCTTGAATTTACAAAAAAAGTATTTCTCATCTCTGTAGTGAAACAATCTCAGGGCTTCCGCTTTTACTGTCCCGTTTCCCCATGATCTAATGTAACAATTTGTGTGTGTGCCTTGTACAAAAGAGAAAGAAAGTACAAAAGGCAAGGAGACAAGGCAAACCCCACTAGAGCTGGTATGACAAAAAAGAAAGTTATTGGTGAATTCTGAATATTTGTGAAATAATTCAGTATTTCAAACAGCAGGTTTCTGCCCTGTAAAAGAGATGACTGTAATGCTCTTCAGAAGAAATCAGTTGTGC